TACAACTTCCTTGGTTGGATATGAACAAGAACCAACTTAAGGCCCATCCAARGACTTGCATCTCCAAGATAAGGTTTGGGCTTTTTATTAGGATAAGCAAGGTTAATTCAATCCAATCCCTAATACAACAATGTTGAATCWAACCAGTTGGATTGGTCAATCTTTTGGTTTTTTATGAAAAGAATTAATAGATTTCACAGTAAAATGTAAGGATATATGTTTAATTAGATTATGCATATATACAATGTATCATATGTGTATATTCTATATTATATATAGTAGGCTCTTTAATAACTAAAATCATTAATTCTTAACAATGTAAAAAGCACTAGACAAGAATTGACTGTAAATTGGGAAAAGCTTGCTACCAACTTGTGGCAAATGTATTTATAAATGAAGAATCATATTCAGAGTCCTATTCTAGTCAATCTCTAGAACTCCATCTTTGTCGAAGAGTAGACTCCAAGTGGGATTCTTGTTGATCGGGACATTCACAAGCTCAACGGAGTGGATAATAGCACATTGAGCTTGGATCGAAGAAAAGAGAAATGTGGGTTGGACAAAGCCTTTGTAAACACATAAGTCAATTGTACAATATGTTGGGCATGTAAGCACTTGCTAACAATACGTACTCGTACAAAGTTGTAATCAATGAATAGGTGCTTGGTGCGAGCTAGATGGGGTTCACAGCCAAGTACGTAGCACCAACATTGTCACAAAACAACACCGGGAGTACTTTAAGAGAAAAGCCAAGCTCTATTAAGAGTGACTGCAACCAAATCAACTCAGCTGTAGTATTTGTAAGGGACCTGAACTCGGATTCTATACTAGAGGTAGCAATGATATGCTGCTTATGAGAACACCAAGAAACAAGGTGTGGGCCCATATAAATAGCATAGCTACCAGCTGAGTGTCGATCATTTGGGCACCCAACCCAATCGACTTCTGTATGGGCAATGAGAGGGATGTATTTGCAAGGTTTAAACAACAAACCATCATCCAAGGTATGTTTCAACAATGCATTTTGTTGCAACAAGATGGTTGTCAGTGGAGCACTACATGTATTGGCAAACACGATTCACAACAAAGGATATATCAGGTCGCATCAAAGCAATATATATATTGTAGGGCACCAACTAAGCCCTGATAAGGAGTAAGATTTACTAGAGGCTTGCCACCGGACTTGGAGAGAAAGAGAGGAAGAAGGTGAAAGAGGAGAACTGACTGGTTTGGCACCATCAAAATTGGTGCATTTCAACAAGTCATAGATGTACTTGCACTGAGAAAGAATAAGTCTTGAGAGGAACAAAATACCTCTATTCTCAAGAAATAATGCAAGTCACCAAGATCTCTAATGGAGAACTCATTAGCTAGCGAGCTCAAGAGATAAGACATGACACAAATATGGTGTCATGTGTGTTGATGCGCCTGAATCTAGGTACCAATTGGTATCAATATCAAAGGTAATATCAGCATGAAAAGCCATTGGGGTAGGACACAATTCAAGCTCTAACCCCAATGGTATTGTTTCAGTTCAACCCATTCATAATCAACCTATGGACATTGGTCGAGACAATGCACTCGACTAGGATGTGGCTCTCAAAGAACCATTGAACCCAAAAGCTTAAGCTGTTAAGTGAGGTTATTGAATAGGTTTCATTCTCTAACATGCCTCTTCACACAAAAGTCAACTCATTGGGCTTGAAGCGTGGACAGCAAAGGCCCATTCATGCCTTGTGCTAAAACTTAATTAATTATAATGGGGGTGATAAGAATCAAACACTAGACCACTTGGTCAAAGTGGCTCTGATACCATCTCAAAAAACCATTAAACCTAAAAGCTTAAGTTGTTAAGTGAGGTCCTTGAATAGGTTTTATTCTCTAACAATGGCTACCTCGAACATGCACCCAACTTCGACGTTGAATGGTAATTCCACATTAGTGTTAAAAGAAGTGATGATATAAGCAGATACAACCCGATCCACAAGAGAGCAAATGGAACCCCACTCTATCTAACCTAAATAGGATGATGAGTCCCACTCCGGTGACCTCAAACATGAGCACACCAAATCAAGCAAGTCCGGTTCCACCCCTTTATTAATTCTACTATGTTCGTTATGACTCCATCTCCTGATATAAATGATAATGTGAATGAGGTTCAATCTACGACCATTCATGCTCCTGCAGAATGGAATGAAACTAAGAATTGCAACGAAAGAAACTCGAACGAGTCCCGATGTACTTAGTAGGCACAATAATATAAGCACATTCTATCACTCCTCATGACCTATGCCATGGAAGTAGACACCAGCGTTGAAGAAACTCTCATTCCTTGTAAAAGGAGTAGTAGAAAACAAGACAATGAAGCAAGGGAACCCGAGGAACCTAAAGATAAACTTTAAAAGCTACAGGATGCGGTCATGGTGACAAGATCATATCTGCCCCTACCCACCAACCATGAAAATCTTAGCTTGGAAGTGCCAAGGGATGGGGGGGGGGGCACCCAGGCTGTTCAACACCTATATATCTAAGCTCCTCTCATGCACAAAGCAAGGCAGATTTTATCTTTCTTAGGCTGGAACCATTATTATTGTGTGGAGGTAGCAGGCTTGTTGGGTAGTCTTTGGCTAATGTGGGAGTAGAACCTTAACCTTCACAGTTGGAATAAACTTGATAATAGGAAGAGCTACTGATCATCTTGATAGAGGTTAATGGGAAATTTTAAGTGCTTATGGGTTCCCCAAACGAAAAGAAAAACATAGTCTCTGGGAGGCAATTGGACAATATCATACAAACTCTATATTTCCATGTTTACTATTTAATTAGAGACCTGAATGCTATATTCAATAATCAGGAAAAAGAGGGTGGTCTCTTGGTTATATGCAACCAAACCAGAGAATTCACCAACCGAATTAACGAACATTTACTCATTGAAATGGGCTTCTAGGTTCCAGCCTATACATGGACCAACAGAAGGTTAGCTCACTTTTTTGTAAGAGAGAGGTTGGATCGAATCCTTGTTCAATCGGATTGTTTTGCTTTATTTCCTAAAACCTTGATTAAGTACCTCTCAGCGATAGGAAGTGACCACAATCTAATCCTTACGACCTAGTAGGCTTCCAACACAGATACAAGCCCATTAAGAGATTTGAGGTAGCATTGACTACTTGTGGGGATTATCATGAGGTTCTTTCAAATGTGTGGTGTTCAGGCAACAATAATTGATTCTGGATCTCCCGCCCACGAGAATTCTGTCCACATCTACCCACAACACACTATTCCTGTGAATTAGGAACATCTTCCCTGCATGATAAATACTATGTAAGAAGATGAGATGTTCTCTATGTGTAATACGATGTTATATGGATAGATGTGGACAGAAGTTGTGTGGACAAAAAATCCGAATTCACATTAATTACCATGATAAACATAATACACACACGTGTACATACAAACTAATGGGCTTAACCTCAGGCTCTATTCCTAGGATTGGGCCTAGTTTGTGCTTAAACCTGGCCCAACCTACCTGATTTACACCCCTGCAACAAGGTTGCAAAACTACATACAAATGTAATTGGATAGTATTGAGATTCAAATAGAATCTTATCCTCAACCGCATGTAGGCCGAACCTGAAGTATACAAACACACATATACAGATGTAGTCCTGTATGTATGTTAAAATATGCACCAACAATTTTAACTTGATCAAAGGCTATCTATATATGTTTATATCTACACGAAGCTTTCATAATAAGGGGGTCTTCTACGACAATAAGAATGCTTTTGTATTTATTTATTTTCGAAATTGTTACATTAGCAAAAAAAAACAGAAGCATGGTGTACTTTCTATTTTGAAAAAGCAAATGTTAAGTTGTTCAAAAGAATAGTTTTAAATCAAAAACAAGTTTATAGTACAAAATATTATATGATATATTGAACATTATATTAAATTAATAAAAGGAATATGTGTTATTGTTATGTACATGTGTAAATAAAGGGTAAAGATATAAATTGATAATATAAAATCAAATTTAACAACCAAAACCAAGGCAAGGCAAGTACCAACCAGATGTCTAAACCAAAAATTTGGGAACACGTTTATGGTTCACTTTTCAAACATGGTTTAAATTTATTTTTTGGAATCCACAACTAGAAAATCAATTGACATTGTTACAAACCACATTTACTGCAATATATCTATGGCCATGATTATGACAGTGTCTTAACAAAAGTGAATGGTAAATAAAATTAAAGCAACTTGTGTTAACCCAATGYCTACMTTTTYGSTAAATTACAAAGGCCCCCTTGTACTATGGGGCCAGTGATAAATACCCCCTGAACTTTCATTTGCGATACCACCATAAACATTTATTTGCGATAAAGGCCCCCTTGTACTATGGGGCCAGTGACAAATACCCCCTGAACTTGCATTTCCGACACCACCCTAAATTTTCACTTTGCGAGAAAGGGCCCCTCGGTTAGAGTTCTGTCAGCTAACTTAAACAAGAAATAAAAAAATTCTTATTCAGCTGTTTAAATTTATTAAATCTCTAAACTACCATTTTCTCATTTATTTGAATGATTTATGATTTGATTAGCTTTCTAAATATAATATTGAAGCCCTCTTGATTGCTCTAATAGATCTTTATAGATTTCTGGATGGATCAATATTCAAATAAAATGGTAAGAATTTTTTCTTGATAGATATAAATTTATGGTTTCGTTTGGTTTTTCTTGATTTATTGGAGAAAGGAGTGGATAATTTTTATATTTTAAGATGAAGAGAGGCATTCATGAATGAAATGAATGAAGAATTAAAAAAAAACATTTTTTCAAAGGCAGCAAAATGATTCATTTTATTTTAAATGGTTTGTTTGGAGAAAATGAAAGTAGTTTTGGTCAATGAGGATTTAATAGACAAGGGTGTGAAAAAGAAAATAAATTTAGGTGGGTTTTTGATAATTTAATGCACTCCGTTATTTGACTTAATGGTTAGTGGGGTATTTTTCACAAAGTGAAAGTTCATAGGATCTTTATCGAAAATAAAAGCTTATGGGTTTATGGGATAATTGTCACTAACTAGGGCTGCAAGTCGGGCCAGATTGCCCTAAGTTCTAAACCCCCAATCCTAACCCTAACCCAACCCGACCTACCCAACCCTAACTAAATTCCTTCAACCCTAACCCAACCCAACCCAACCCAAAGTCAACTTCGGGTTGGGTTGGGCTCAGGTTGGGCCCAACCCAACCTTCTTCCCATCCGTTATAATCTTGTAAAACTTCTTAATCTCATATCTTAACTCAACTTTCATTGCATATATTGATCCTATGTTTTATTAGTATTTGTTTGTTGATGTTTTAATTGGTTCTTTAAGTACAAAATTCAGAAAAAAAATGTTTAAAATGGCTATATTTTATTATGAGTTATGACTTATAATAAATCTTTTATGGGTAGCAAGCCATGAGTGGTAAACAATATAGAGGAGATAAAGAATAAAATATTCAAAAACTAAAATATGTTATTAAGGTTTTAGTATTTCTAATTACGATTAAGTGAAATGATTATCTTAAAAGAAATAAATGATAGTATGTGGTGGGGGCTATACAATTATCATGCATATAAACAAATCAATATATCATATATCATATATATAATATATTTATATATGATATGTATTATAAAATTGGGTTCGAATTGGATTGGATTGCCTGAGGGGTTAACCCTAACTCAACCCGAAGTAAAATTGGATTCATAAATTTCAACCCTAATTCGAGCATCAACCCGACCCAACCCAATCCGACTTTTTTCGGATTGGGTTCGGGCCAACCGGCCCAAGTTGCAGCTTTATAGTATAGTATAAAGGGGTCTTTGTTCTTAAGGGTTACAGAGTGGGAACCGGATATAATAGGCACGTCAAAGTAAGCATGTTAAATGAGCACTTGATAGTAGCCCATCCACGTCTCCTTAACCCCCCAAATCCTGTTGACCGTGGAATTTGATCCCCTATCTCCGCTACTGCGCTACAAACATCGGGAAATCCCACCAGTTGAGCGACCATCAGTATGACAGTATGTAACCAATGTCTACCTTGGGTGAGTTGGATTTAGGGATGTAAAGGAAATGGATTTAGATTAGAGCACCACCATCCGAGTTGGATTTGGTCATATATTTATAGGATTACTTGACAGAGGTCATTAATTAATGTTGGAAGAATCATGCACGAATCGTACACTAATTTGTAATTTTATATAATTTACCTAGAGGAACCACCACKGCCAAGGGAAGACTTCGTTTGTCTGGTACTGGTAAGCAACCTTTTCCTAGTTTGATTCCGTCTCCATGGTAACCACTTGGGCAAGCACAATAATAGCTTCCTTCTGTG